TTCTCTCCTTTGCCCTCCAGGGAAGCAGCCGCCTCCAGGCAGGGCTCTGGGGCTAGCTACTCAACAGGGTGCGAGGAGGGAGGTGCCCGCTAGCAGCAGCGCCCTGTGTGCGCAGGAGAAGCATTTGACTTTGACTTGTTTTAACTGCATAGAAAAACCGGTTGGTTAGGGTTGTAGGTTGTTATGATGCGGGCTATAACCGAGAGACAGCCAGAAGAAAAGGGCCACCCTGCCCTCCCAGCCCAGGCTGTGGGGCACACAATAGTACTAGTGAGCTGCCTAAACCGTGCCAGGCACCATCGAAGTACAACTCCCATCACCCACCTCTCACTCACCAGCTTTACTGCCTCCTTGACAAAAGGAAAAGATTAAAATCACCTTAAGATAAGGCAAGCAGAAGCAGGAAATAACCAAACACTTGATATTGCCCAGGCAACAGAGTCCATCTAATTGCTGCTCACTGTACAAAGTATGGTGGCGTCACTTTTATCTGGACCTCCGCATATTAGTCTCTTTTCATACATTTAGATTGCAAACTGGAGCCAGCACAGACTTTTACGGTACAGCTACAGGAATACAAATAAATCAATAATGTACATTCAATGTCTAATACAATGGGTCCTGAGGGTATGTCTACACTGCAATAAAACACCCACAGCTGGCCCACGTTGGCTGACTCAGGCTCACAAGGCAGTAAAATTGCAGTGTAGCTATTCCACCTGGGCTCCAGCCTGAGCAGCAACACACTGCAATTTTATAGTCCCACCATCTGAGTACGCTGATCTGGGCCAGCCACAAATATTTTATTGCACTGAAGACATACCTTAAGTGCTACCACAGTACAAATAAGTAGTAACTGTGTGTGAAAATACCGGCTTTGCACATGTAAATTGCTGTGCTTCTACAAAGTCAAGACATGGCAGTACCACCAAACTAGGTCTACTCCCCACTCCTACTTTGATCTACTTTAGCCACTCTTCCTATATTATTCTAGAGGTGAATACCCTTTTGTTATAGAATATAGAAATTTTCTTTTAATGTGACCTTTTAAAAACATGAATATAGCACTCTGTAAAATTAATATTGTTAACTTGATATTGGAAAAACTACCTCAAGCTGTGCAAAAATATAATTCATTTATTTTGTGTGGTTGAAGGCACTTACGATTAAATATTTTTGCCTCTGGCTATTGAATTAAGTGCTAACATTTCAAAAGCTTAATTGTCTTTTTATTTAAAAAAATATTAACAGGAATTTACATAGCATGTTTCATCTATGACTCTCACAGTGGTTTACAAATTAAGTAGAGTGGGGTATAGAATCCACAAGTCTTAAACTACTAGTCTCATGTTCTAATCACTATGCAGTGCACGATTTAACATTTTTTTCCCAGTCAGCTGGCTTAAATCTTTCCAATACAGTCATGCTGAAGTGCATACATAATCTTTAAATACGATAAACCTAGACCTAATTATAAGAGGCAACAGCATCAACATACATGTCAGAGATAATAAAAAAATGAATCAGTGTGAAAGTAAACATGTAAAGAGCAGAATGCATGGCTTACCATGTCACAGCTGAATCACAGAAATTCTGCTTTCAGTTGCTTAACATTCCTATGAGTCAGGTGTTCCAGAATAATTTCTTTTGAGTAGGAGACTTATCTTTGTATTGTACCTGGCACTGGTAATTTAATATAGCTCTTAGTATTCCTTTTCCACAGTAAAACCCAAAGAAGAGTAACTACTTAAACAATAAGGTTTACCTTGTGAAATTGGCACCACTGAGAGTAGGGATTTGCAGCTTCATAAAGAACCAGGGGTAGAGTTGAGTATAGAATCCAGGAGTGCTGGCTACTAGTCCAAGGTTCTAATCAGTACCTACAGCACCAGTTTACAATTCCTCTCTGTCATCTGAATTAATGATTCCATTACAGCCATGTCATAAGTGCTCAAACTTTGAAGATGATAAAACTAGAGCACTAAATGAGGTGAACTCGTCATGGAATTCACTAGGCTGGTGACCATTTCAGAAGGCTTCAGCATCTTCCAGAAGACTGAGTGAGTAGCTGCCAACAGTACCAGGGCAAAAGGGTAGCTATAAATCTCCCTCATTCTGTGCCCCTAGACTAGAGCCAGGACTTTGCAGCTCATAGCCCCAGAAGCCCCTCCTCTCTCAGAAGCACCAAGGTCTATCTATGAGAGTTGAATGCATTAGTTTATATTACAAAAATTGTGGCCAAGCTAGTAATATTAGGCAGAGTGGTGGTTGAGGATAGGCTATTAAAAAGAAAAGGGAACACACACAAACAAATAATAGAAAGCTAAGTAAATCTTGGGTTGCTTTTCACAGGGATTAGGGGACGGGGCAAATGTTGCAGGAGCACAGATTATTAAATTTTGATAGGGAAATAAAAACATTTAAGTGTACATGATTCAGAACCATCAAATCATGCACACACTATTAGCCTGTGTAACGACAGGGCCTTCGTGGGTAAGAACCTCACTTCTTCAGATGCAAGAAGTGAGGTTCTTACCCACGAAAGCTTATGCTCCCAATACTTCTGTTAGTCTCAAAGGTGCCACAGGACCCTCTGTCGCTTTTTACAGATTCAGACTAACACGGCTACCCCTCTGATACTTGACAGGGCCTTGTTATCCTGGTTATTGGTATCCTTCTCTTCCTCCTCACCCCGTCTCCTATTATTTGTTATGCCCATTTGTTGTGTCTTGTCTTTAATCAGAGTACAAGTTCCTTGGAGCAGGACAAATCTCAACAAAGGTGTTTAAACAGAGTTTAGCACAAAGGAGCATGATCCCAACTGGTACTGCAGTAATATAAATAGTGATGTGAAGTGGGGGCATGGCTGCGAGATCCCTCAGAACACAAGCATGCAAGAGGAAATCTGTTCCCAGCCCCAAGGCATCTTTATTGAGCCCCCTCTGGGCTGCTCCCCAGACCTCTCCCCTGGCAGCATGACTCTTGACAGACATCCCCTACATTTGCCTCCTTTGGGATAGAAGACAGAGAGAAGGATTTCAGTTGATTTGTAAATACAGCAATAATTTCAATGTATGAGTCTGCCAGTAGTTCAGGAGTGGAACTGCTGCCCAGACTCAGCCCCTGCTGTCCACACCTTTGGAGCTACCATCAATTAGAGTGGCTTTTGGAACTGGGGAAAAAAGCAAAACAGTGGTTGGAATATCACCCTATCATCCCAATTTTTGAAGAATCAATTGCTTTCCAAATCTCCAATCCTATCAGGTATGTGGGTGGGTGCGGAAGGAAGGTGACTGACTGGACCCCTAGCATATTCAGGAATCCAACTACAGCAGAACCCTGTTTATTCGATCGAATTGGGATCTGGGCCAGATCGGATAGTCAAATTTGGATAAACTGGAAAATGGGAAAATGCAAGGCTGCAGTGCCATCTAGTGGCCACAGGAGAGATCACCTGCTTCTGGATCTGTGTGCGCTGGTTGTTCGGTTAATACAGAGAGCCAGATAATGGAGGGTCGGATAAAAGGGATTCTATTGTAATGGACTCTGGACAATTAAAAGAAACTACACAAAATTAGTCATAGTATTATCAAATGATGGTGAGATATTCTGTAGGTAAGATTAGGATGATACTTCAGAACTTGGAAGTAAAAAGCAAATGACAAACTTACTGTAGATAGATATGTGTTAAATTGACTCAATGCTGTTATAATGCTATTACACTCAACTGCATTATTTGGTTCTGTTAATTTACATGATAATTGAAACCTGCTTTGTGCTTCAGAGGACCTCCCCTTATGTTTGTGCTAGCCATACTAAGTATATGCTTCCCCCAACAAATTCCCTCCAAACCATCAGTGTTCGGCTTGTTGCTTTTTTGTTTCTCTTCTTCATAAGTAGCAGTGCAAAATATAAACTCTTCATGCCTTTCACAGGGAGGGCTATGAAATATTCACCCTTCACTCAGTCACTTGCAACTAAAAGAAAAGTAAATTCAAGAAGAAGAAATATTTTTTATCATTTTAAATTAAAAGAAAGAAACTCATTGTACAAAAGCTGAGTGAAAGAGGCACAGAACTAAAAGTAAGGCATATTGAGAATGGAGAGCAGTTCAAGATTTTCATTCTACACCAAGATTAACCCTCTCCAAGCCTTTCCTTTTACAAGGATATTTGGTGGTATCAACACAAGGGGACAATGTGATACAGATGAAATTACTATAAGGCGGGTACACAACTGGCTGAAAGACTGTACTCAGAGTAGTTACCAATGGTGCACTGCTAAACTGTGATGGTGTATCTAGTGGGGTCTCTCAGAGGTCATTTCTGGGCAATATTTTCGTCAATTACTTGGAAAATGGAGTGGAGAGCATGCTGATAAAATTTGTGGATGACACCAGGCTGGGAGGAATTGCAAGCACTGTGGAGGATGAGATTAGAATTCAAAATTACCTTGACAAATTAGAGAACAGAGCTGAAATCAACAAGATGAAATTGGATAAAGACAAGTGCAAATTACTTCACTTAAGAAGAAAATAAAATCATATCCCCAACTGCAAAATGGGGAATAACTGGTTAGGCAGTAGTACTGCTGAAAAGGATCTGGGGGGTATAGTGGATCACAGATTGAATATGACAACAATGTGATACAGTTCCAAAAAGGGCTAATATTCTGGAGTATATTAGCAGGAGTGTTAACTGTCCCACTCTACTCAGCAGTGGTGAGGCCTCAGGTGTAGTACTGTGTTCAGTTCTGGGAGCCACACTTTAAGAAAGATGTGGTGATACTACAGAAAGTCCAGAGAGCAACAAAAATGATAAAAGGTTTAGAAAACTCAAGGAAAGGGTAAAAAAATGGGGCACGTTTAGTCCTGAGAAAAGAAAACTAAGGGAAGACCTGACAATAGTCTTCAAATATGCTAAGGGCTGTTGTAAAGAGGATGGTGATCATTAGTTCTCCATGTTCACTGAGGGAAGGACAAGAAGTAATGGGCTCAATCTGTAGCAAGGGAGATTTAGGTTAGCAGTCAGGGTAGCTATGCTCTGGAACAGGCTTCCAAGGGAGGATGTGGAATCCCCATCATTGGAGGTTTTTAAGAACAGGTTGGACAAACATCTGTCAGGGAAGGGGTATTCTTGGTCTTACCTTAGCACAGAGGCTGGACTTGATGACCTCTCATTATCCCTTCCAGCCCTACATTTCTATGATCTCTACCATCGCTTAGACCCATGAAAGCTAACTTGTCTAAAAAGGGCTTCCTGGATGTTAACAAGAGCAAATCTCAGGTCAAGATTTTCAGTCACTACCTGTATATCAGGAATATTTAATTTAAAACCAACGAGTTCAATACTTAGCTATACATAGAAATCTCTGTGTGTATTATTTATAAAAGAGAGAGATTAGAAGTGGAAAAATGAAATTTATCACTTCTTCACATTGTCACCACACTGAATTTTTCAAAAAGATGTGCATCTGTAAGATGCTACAATCTTGCAAATGACTTCCATTAAAAAAAAAAGTGACTGTGCCTTCTCTAACAAACACATAGCAAATTGTGTGTGTATAAATTAAAAATCCTAAACAAAAATACTCTCCTGCACATAATTCTCTTTCTGGGGAAAGGACAAGAAAACAAACATGACAGATGTTTGTCACATTGCTTATTGCTCTATTATACTACATGAACCTAATAAAAATAAAATGGAAAATATGTTCTATTTCAGACTATATATTCAGCAATATATTATGTGTATGAAAAGCATTAAACAATCAAGCCAAGTTTCTCCTTTAAATATATAATCTCTTTTCTAAAGGCAGTTACATTTTATACTTGTACCAAAGAATAACTCACCAAGTTTTTAGGTGTGAAGGAAACACTAATTTTGCACTAGTATTTTATTCTATCTATAGAAATAATGCTTACAAAATGCTTCTCTGTCAACTGTAACAACACTTTTGTATGGATGATGAAATAACTGCCAGTGCCAAAACAAACTTATTTCATCTGTTCAAATAATTGTGGTTGTCTCCTTCTCCTTTAACAACATGCTGCATATGTAAAACTTATTTCTATAAGCTATTCTCAGAAAAACAAAAATACACTTCATAAAACCAGAGCAGCTGTATTTTTTTTAAAAGGAAAAAAGTCCTCACATAGCTAATGTTCACCAATGCATTATTTGTGGTGGACATTTTCTTTTGAGATGCCATTTTACTTCATATTTTAATGACTTTTAAAAAAAATAAACTCTAAGAATTTTCTCATTATTACAAAATGACATGCTTGAAAAAATATTACGTTATAGGCATATTTGATTATAAATTGACACTAAATATTTAAACAATTTAATTTTTGGGAAGTAAAGAATGTAAACAGAGTATTTTAAATAAATAAGTGTACTTTACAGCTTTTCCCCCTTACATATATTCATAAAAACATGGTTTATAACAAACTACAAAAATAATTTTTCATAAACTACATCTCTTCAAAGAGAAAAAAAGAAGGAGGGTTATTTCCTGTCTTAATATATTCAGGACTATCATTTCAATGTCATACACATTTGCACATCAGTCACACTACCATTATACTAGTTTATCCTTAACTTTTCTTAAAGTGAATTTAGTGCTTTTGAAAGGTGCTGGTTTGACAAATGCATAGGAATCTGAAGCTCTCTATATCTCCATAGAACCAGTGAGGCTCAGCCTGTATATGCCATACCTATTCTGGGGGTCTCTCACACTCCATGCTCATTTAAGGGGTTGATCCTGCAAAGTGTTTGTAGTCAGTGGGTGTTGAGGTCACTCAACATACCACAAGCGTGCCACGCACTTGTCAGGACTGAGCCCTACAAATCTGGCCCATCAGTTCCTACAGAAGTCAGTGGCAGGCTTTCCACTGACTTCAATGAGAGTTGGATTTGGGGCCCAATCCTACGGAGAATATCAACATGGACATAAATGAGTACCAATTGTTTTGTGCTGTGGATATCTGGCCACTAGAAACTGAATTCAATCCAATCCATTTTACACTGGCTAACAATCATCACATATTAACTGTCGGTCACTAGCAACCTAAGTTGAATTGCTGGTGACTTCCATACCCTGAGTCTCCACTACGTCAAGATAAAACAAAGCCCGCTCTTAGCATGCTCTTTTTTCCACAGATATAATTTAGACAAAAACTATTATGAAAAAATGATTTGAATGGAAAATTAATTCAATGCTCTAGTCCCTGCTAGATCACTTATTTTTTTGTCTCAAATGTTGTACTCCTCCAATGGAGGTTTACAGGGATTCCAACGTGACAAGTATCAGAGTCCAATCCTTCACCCGCACCAAACTAATTTGAATAATAAAACACCGATTATGAAATTCTTCATATATGATAAAGCGTTACACAATCATTTTAAAAATGTTTCAATTGTTTGTTTGGAATTGCTTGGTTTGGCTTTCTTTGATGTTGACTGGGGTGTCATTAGTCCAGGCCTAAAATAAAAAAAGAACACATTAGGAACAAACAAACAAACAAACAAACAAACAAACAAACAAAGTATTAAACCACCTAAAGTAACTTTTACAACACTGAACAGTTTGCTAGCGTGACTTTCAAATACAAGTACATACACACTTGAGGAGATCTATCATACCTTTTTGTTCCTGTTGTGGGATTCATATATTGATGTCCTCGGCCCATGCTTCCTAAAGAACGATTGTGAACATCCAAAATGAATTATTTAAACACACAATGAGCACAGCAGGGAGCTGCATGACTAGCAGAACTTTTAGGAGAAAAGTTCTAGATGAAGAATTTCCTTCCTATTATTTTCTGAAGCAGTTGGATTGAATCTCTTACCAAGCAGCTAACATTTGATCATTTCCTTAGTACTGTCAATTATATTCAAAATAAGTAAAAACAAAAAAGCCCTTTAGCCCAATAACAAATTAAGGAATAAATTTGAATGTGATCACAGATTTCTGTAATAGAAATGTAATGCTGTTGATTTCCAAGATGGCCTACTGAAATTCATGTTTGTTTTACACTGTTTGTCTTTCTGGGAATAAAACTATTAAAAAATCTTCACTAATATGCAGCATTTCTTCTATACCACAACTTGTCTGCATAGTTAGGAAGATCTACACCAGTATTTTAGGAAATCATCTTTGTAAAAACAGTCACATATAGTATAATGCTGCTATTGTAGCTTTATAAATATGCTCGGAAACTCTCTCATGTTGGATCAGAAAGGAAGCACTTTGAACAGTTTCTTAAATACTAGTCGTAGGTCTCTAATCTTGTCCTATTTATCGAGCCAATTCCAAAGTTAACTCTCCATAATCAAAAAGACAAGTACTAAAGCAAGCCAATTAGTGGCAAACTAATACACCAAACTGGTTCATGTCATACAACGGAATTTGATATTTTTCAAATGGAAATAGCCAACCCCTTTAGACACGTTTTCTTAAAATTCAGTAGCTGTACCAGACTCAGAACCCTAAAATGTAGAACACATTCCTTAAAAACCCTATTGTATATTGGATGGGGCAATTTAAAAAGGTGACATTCTTAACCTAAATACTCACCAACTGACTTTGAATTTTCCGTAATTTGACTCTTAACTGGACAAACTATTTGCTCTGTCAACTCCTGGATAATGCCTTTATTTAAGCAAACATCCACATGCCTGTTGAACAATGAAAGGTCAGTTGTTTTTTGTTCCACGTTACAAATTGGACAAACCAGAACATTGTCTCTGATGGCTCCAGAGGAGTAGGAAGGCTGAGTTTCTTGTGTACATTCAGACTTTTCAAAGCGTTCTGCATTTTCCAATGAAATGATTTTGGAAGAAAAATTCTGTTCTAAGTACATGTTGCTAGCCGTTTCACTAAGCAGACTATGCTCTCTTTCCTTGCTAGTGTTAGCTACTACTTTAGGGAATGCTTCTGTGCTACTGCTAGTAGAGTTGTCAGCTACTTGTGTTGACTGTGCTGTAGCCACTGATTTGTTCATTTTATTTTTTTGACACATTTCAAATGTTTTCTTTTTACTGTCCAGAGAAAAATGATGTGCATTCTCCCATGAATTCTCACTCGTTGATATTTCTGCATTATCTTTTACCAATGTCCCATTGAGGCACTTGTCAATATGTCTGTTAAGTGCCTCTAAATCGCTGTCTCTTTGCTCCTCAAAGCAAACAGGGCAAGTGAGGCTACGACAGTCATTCAAATTCGCTGAGCCTATGGCGTTATTTGTTTCGTCCACAGGATTTACTGATGACTTTATATCATGTGAGTTCTGCTTGTTTGCAGGTTTGTTTATAAGAAGTTCCTGGTTGCTTTGTTGCCTTGCAGCTCGCTTTTTATCAAAAAAACTCTCTCTGTGAGATGTTTCTGAAGCTTTGGTAAAATGTTCATGGCTGGATTTCCCTGGCTGAAGCAGAGAAGCATTTGCTTGCTTTCCTGGCTTTAAGAAATTGATAATGCTCCTCTGTTGGTATTTCTTTTCTTCTTCATTTAGAAACCCTGATACTCGTATGCCTGAATATGACAAACGAGACAGATAAAAATGGAATTGTAACTGATAAATAAAACTAAAACTTAATGAACACTAATGGGCATTAAAAAGATGCAAAGCCACTCAATATAAATAGGTATCTTATAACAGAAACTGTATTATGAACGTGTGTTAGCAGCTGATCACAAAGCAATTACAGTTTTACTACCAGTCCTGAAGATTTGCCAGCTACTTCAATTTTACTGGGAATTTCAGTACCCTTAAAACACCACATAGCAACATCATGTGATGCCATAAACATCACGTAGTCATGTGGAAAGTTAAATTCTAAAGTTGTTCATTTCTGGATGCCAGTAATTAATAATCATGTTTATTGCAGCAGAACAAGGCCCTATTGCGCTAGGGACTGTACAAACAGTAGCAGACAGTCCCTGCCTCCAAGAGCTTACGATCTAGATAGACAAGACAGACACAGTGAAGAGGCTTAACATAGAAGCAGAGTGATCAATGTGATGATAGAAGATGTCATGTTAGTTCCACAGCTTTTGGTGGGGTTGGGGGGAATGGATTTAGTTAGGAGGGGGATAAGCTAAATGGGAAGGGAAGGAGGTTAAGGGGGCTAGGGGAGAACTGAGTAAGAGGGGTAGGTGGGAGTGAAGCTGAGGTGAAGAGACTGCGACTGAGAGGATGTGCTGGAGCAAAGAGCAGACCAATCAGCAAAGGGCAGAGCAAGTCCAGTCAAAACTGTAGAAAGGTCTCTCTGAATGTTCAGAGGTCCCTGCTTCGGCTGCTTCTGCTCCTAGAGGCTGAAGTCTCTTGCTGGCTCCTCTCTACAATTCTTCCCAAAGATCACGTGGTGTGGGAGGAGAGAACGGGTGGCAGCGCATGGATCCCAGTTGTCTCAGAATGAGTGTGGAGTGTCCCCTTCAAAAATTTGGGTCTAGCTGGGGAGCAGCATGGCCCCAATTGGGCCCTATTTTACCCTGATTTGTCTGCTTCTGTTCCTACTGGCTGGAGTCTCTGGCATGAAATTTTCCATTAAAATATTTATTCTTTGAACTTTTTCTTAAAACTGGGATATTACTTTTTTTAAAAAGAATAGTGAACTATTTACACTTAGAATAAAAAAACACTATTCACTTCAGCAAGAAATCTTAACTTCAGACAAAATATAGCACCACCAAGTTATAACACTATCATTAAGGTAATTCCTCTGTCAAAAATGATAGAGCCATATACTCAACTCTTCCCTGCTGCCGTGCAAAGGAGACTTAAAACTGCTTTAAGGAGGCAAAGCTGAGGATTCCATGTCACAGGATGGCACCCCAACATTGGCATAAGGGTGTTCCAGGGCAGGCAGGGGTTGGGGAGGAGGCGGCAATCTCAGCTGGTGGAGCAACTCCCTGGGAGCCACGATCCACCAGGACAAGTTAGAGCAACACTGAAACTGCTCTAATTTGCACCAGGGGCTTTGTCCCCAGCAGGTCTCAAGATTACTGGGGGAAGGGTAAATCCAACTATGCTACCTGTTCCCAGGAGTGCAGCATGCCTGATCTGAGGGACTTGGGGATCTTGCCCTAAAAAGGAAAACAAAAAAGTTATAAATATTTTACCCATAAGTCTTAGCCGCAAAGGGTGAGGGGCAACACCGTCAATTTCTGTCCTTAGCATATCTTTAGCAACAGCAAATATTTCTTCTTCAGTAGAAACAGCAGCGAGCACTGTGGAAGCTCTTGTTTTTACTTCAAAATTCACATTCTTCAGTTTCAGGGTAACGGTTTTACCCTAGAAAACAAATAAAACACTTAACATACATGGTATGGAAGAATTTTTACAGTGATTTATTCTGTAAATAGGCCATTTTTTCACCTAGCTGAACTCTACTTCAGTGTCTAAACAATGACTTTAAAGTAGGGGGTTAGATTCACTGCTGCATCCAACTTATGCTGAACACAGCATGAATGGTGGGCTATAATGGAGCCTGTTATCATAAGATTTTCTGCCTGGCTATAGCCTGCTGCCAGAGCCGAGTAGCTGGGGGCTGCTCTAACCTGCACCAGCTGGCTATCTGTATCTCTCAGATGCATATTGCTAATGTACTCTGGCCACTTCCCCAGTCTCTACCCACCTCCCATGCATCTCCTGGACTGGGAGTTGCGGGGCAGCTGCCAGCTATGTCAAGTCTACATCTACTAGGAACTCTTGTGTGCTTCGGGAATGCCCAGTTAAGGATCTCCAACGTCTCTGCTCCCTTTATATCACTTGAGTGTGCAAAGGGAGCAGAACAGGGCAGAAAATCTGCCCTAATATTTGTACAGGCAAGTGTGCACATGCAATTCAATACGTGCACCGTAAATCCCAATCACCTGAAAATGTGTTTGTAAAGTGATAAGCTAAAAGTCGTTACCATATCTCTCTTCCAACTCAAAGAGTTTGGGTAACTCTTTCAAAAGCACTTAAAAGACTTAGGAGCACTGCAAACAATGGGATATAGGCCAAGTCACTTCAGAGCTTTAGACAAGTTTACCCTTTGTTATTTGTCAATACAGAGGCTTTTTCTCCATGCTGTCATCCCATATCCTTGTATCACAACAACCTTCCGTGGCTGAAGAGGACTGATTGGTACCTTTAGGAATCTTTGAATGCTACTCTTTGCTTTACCAATAAAGATCTCTGTTGAATAATGTGCAGGTTCCTCCCAAAAAATAAGTAAAAATTCAGTGTATACAGTATATTATGCTCAGTAAAGCTATAGGATCTGTATATTTACTAATAATAAGACAAGGAGGAATACATCGCTTTACAGTTTACAAGCTTGGCCACAGTAAGGCTCAAAGCAATCCATTTTTTATGCAGCTCGACTACCCCTTCTGTTAATGAACACAGCTTTTAGAACAACATGTACGATATGCTAAATAACTTAGTGGATTGGTTTCATTTCTTAAAGGATCTCACAAGATAGCCCCCTGAAGCTAAATGCAATTTCGGTCTAAATTATTCTAATCATCAATGAACAAAATAACAGAATCCCTTGAAGCCAGAAGGTAGGGCATGATAATGCAGAAAGCATTACTGCTAACAGAGGGCACTGTGGACCTGGGACCTGACAGTACAAAGATGTTGATTTTTTTTAACTAAGAAAAGAATGATTTAAATACCTTAAGTCCTTCTTTCTGCAGATCCTGAGCAAGATCTCTGCAAAGTTCTTGACACAAGCTGTATTGTTCTTCTGCTGTGTTAATTTCACTGAATGTCCTAAATGAACATAAAGATTAGTCATTTTTTCCCCAATATGCATTTTGGAATTTGAAATGCATCCTTAAGATTTAAAAATTTTCATTAACAGTTTAACAAGAAGAAAGTTTTGTGGGTTTGAGGGGTTTTTTTTTAAGTCAGGATGTATATTTATATTAAATAGAAACATATATGCCAGGGATTGGCAACCTTTGGCCCGCGGCCCGCCAGGATAAGCACCCTGGCGTGCTGGGCCGGTTTGTTTATCTGCTGTGTCCGCAGGTTTGGCCGAACATGGCTCCCACTGGCTGCAGTTCACCGTCAATGGGGGCTGCGGGAAGCGGCGCAGGCCGAGGGATGTGCTGGCCATGGCTTCCTGCAGCCCCCATTGGCCTGATGCGGCAAACCGCGGCCAGTGGGAGCCACGATCAACTGAACCTGTGGACATGGCAGGTAAACAAACTGTCCCAGCCTGCGTGCCGCATGCCAAAGGTTGCCAATCCCTGATATATGCACATTCAATAACTGCACAAAAGAGGTTTGCAAATCCCACCAAACAAAGAAATGGTGCGTTGTAGTCACACTTCTCAGGCAGTGTTTGAAAACATATGAGATCTAGGTTGATAAATGCTTAAATATTTACAAGAGAGAATGCTAATACCAATTGAATTCATAGAGCCAGCCAAAACATTTGTATATAAACTTCTCTGCATAGCATTGTGTAACATTGGAAGGAAGAGAGGATTAGGAAATTAATCCAAGAGCCAAGTATGAGATGTAAATACTGTAACACGGGTGCTAAGAAACAGATGTTACGGTAATTATGGCTAGAACCAGAGAAGGAAAAACTAGCTTTCTGCCAAAATTTAATTAGATCTGTCTTTGCTACACCTTTCCAGGGAAAGGGAAACCTTACCTTACCTCAGTGATAATGTGAAAGGAAGGCTGGTCTTGTGATTATAGAGGGAATTGGTCGTGACACTCATGGTTGTCTAACACTTTCAGTTGAAAAGATTCTTTCCGTTGAGAAGCTCTTACACCTCCACTGTTTGCAATCGGCTTTTGCTATTTGGCAGTGAGAAAGCCCTTGTGCTAGAGCTGTGCCTCTTTCTTGCCCAATTTGTGTTCATGTTTGGCTGATATATAAATTATTAAAATTGCCATTTCCCTGTTGTAACTTACATTCCTCAGAAAAATGATGGCATATTGCCAAAATAATAACTGAACATGAACATTCTAAAGTTGGGCCTACAATGCTGCTAAAGCAGCAGCAGCACTACACACTGTACTGGGAACAAGTTGCTGCTAGAGCTGTAGCAATGTGAGGGGGATGGGCAGGAAAAATGCTGGGCCCCACCCCACTCTCTTCTCTAACCCAATCAAGCACATGCTCCCAGTAGCCCATCCCTCCCCCAACTTTGGGAGCACCAGGGAGCAGGAGCTAAACTATCTCTCAGAGAGAAAGAGGGGGCCGTGTGAGTTGAACTACCTTGCCTATCCCACCGTGCCCCAGACAGCACATGGCCACATTAGCCCATTCCTCACTCTTTCCACACAGAAAGGAGTCCCCCCACACCTCCTGAGTCTGGGCCAGGCTCTCCACAACTACACAGATCCAGCATGTGGCTGCCAGTAGCCCATCCTCCCTGTGGGATAACCATCTTCTCCTGCTGATAGCAAACATGAGCCTGGTCCCCACTAACCCCCCACTTCGGACTAAGGTACGCAAATTCAGCTACGAATTCGAAGTACCTTAGTCCGAACTTACCACGGGTCCAGATGCGGCAGGGAGGCTCCCCCATCGATGCCGCGTACTCCTCTCGCCGAGCTGGAGTACCGGCGTCAACGGCGAGAACTTCCGGGATCGATCCCAGAACATCGATTGCCTGCCGCCGGACCCGGAGGTAAGTGTAGACGTACCCATGGTTAATCCTGTACCTGAAACCGTGTAGAAGTTTCAGTATTCAAACATGGCTGTTGATGCACAACAGGGTGTTTGTAACAGTTGTACAAAATAGATTTTGTTAGTTATTTTCCTTTAAAAAAACAAACCCCAGGAAAACACCCACAAAAAAACTCCAACCTATATTTAAACAACTTTACATTGTAAAATTAAACACATGAGAGTTAGGAAATGCCACATTTATAGTATAGAAATGCCACTTAAGCTTTCCACCTTGTGTGTATGTATTGTGATACAATCTTTAATTACATGATTGCAAATTATTTTTTCTGCAGGAACTGCCTCATTTAGTGCACAGGTTGAACGCACAATAGGTGAAAGGTTTCTAGGGCAGGCAAGGAATTGATGGAGAAAAGTAGACAGAAAATCTTGGTGTGGATAAGAGGAGAAGAGGAGAGAATGGAAGAAGGAAAAGATGAGGTCATGTCAGATTTTGTCAGTTTTCTCTTTGAAAAAATCAGTGAGATCCTGAGCAGAAGGTGAATTGGGGGCAGGAAAAGGGAAGGTTTAAGAAAGATGTCAAAAGTTGTGAACACATGGCTGAGATTTCAGATATGAGATTATATCAGGGTGGAAAGTCAAATTGATTTGCTTGGAGACTAGCAGAATTTAAGGAGAAGAGAACAAGTCACTGGTCTGGGACTCAGGAGATACCTGGGGAAGCTGCACCATTTTCAGTCACGGGCGGTGTCTAACAGCATATCTACACTGGTGCACAATACCCTGGTGAAGCCCAGGCCTAAGACACTTAGAATTTTCGTCAGTATACACAAATACTTTGTGAACTGCTGTTGGAGTTCACCAAACCTATAACATACATCTGGAGAAGTTATATCAGCCTCAAGAGAAAAACAAGTTGCAGCTGATGGTACACATTTTATGGGGCAAAAGATAAACATTCCTTTAGAGTATAGTCAGAACAGTTCAGCAGAAAAGTAAATAATTTAGATGATCCACTGGTGCACAAGACCAATCCATATATATCTCCATATCTATAAATACACAGAGCTGCTTACACTGATGTTTACATAACTCTCTTAAGTAATGTCAGAAGCCCCACACTTTCTCCCTAGATGACGGCCTAAGAAAAGAAACCTGATGCTTTCTTCTCATTTAAAGCAATCGGGTGGAAAATTGGTAGGAGAAAACTTATGCAGGACCCTGAAGGCAAGGACAGGAAGCTTGACTCTTATGTAGTGAAGTTACTAAACATAAAACTAGCTGTCCCAATATACATAAAATATCAACTAACGCTTATAGGATTGTACTATCTGATGTCTTAGCTACTAGTGGTTAGTCTATACCCTATAGGTATAGGTATTTTCTAGGCAAGGTCTTGGTATAAGTTAAGTAATAAGTAATGAGCTGTGACGTTATTGACATGAACTGGGACCATACATAAAGAAGAACGGGAGTACTTGTGGCACCTTAGAGACTAACAAATTTATTAGAGCATAAGCTTTCGTGGACTACAGCCCACTTCTTCGGATGCATATAGAATGGAACATATATTGAGGAGATATATATATACACACATACAGAGAGCATAAACAGGTGGGAGTTGTCTTACCAACTCTGAGAGGCCAATTAATTAAGAGAAAAAAAAAAAAAAAAAAACTTTTGAAGTGATAATCAAGATAGCCCAGTACAGACAGTTTGATAAGAAGCCCCTTGTAAGTATGCTCACACTTCTTATCAAAGATAATCAAGATAGCCCAGTACAGACTATCATAAGAAGCCCCTTGTAAGTATGCTCAC